TTTTCTGCTCTCTTTTGCTCTTCTGTGCCGAGACGTATGTGCCTGCGTGTGTGTTTGTGTGTGTGTGTGTGTGTGACAGCTGCCTAATTGGGCATTCTCCCCTCGTCGGTGTGCCTGCCTCCCCTCCCCTCTCCTCTCCTTTTCTCTCCTCCAGCCTGGGCCAGGGCTGCTGACGAATGGCAGCGGATTACAGATGAGGACACAGTGACCCGCCTGACCTTGCTGCACAGCCGTGGGGAAGGAAAGGGGAGGGAGGGACAGAGACAGTGTGGGCGGGGTGGGGCAAATAGGGTGCTAGGACTGCAGATGGGTGGAGTAGTGGTGGGGGGGGGGCAGGAGTAAGCATAGGTGATTTTTGGGCAGGGGTTGCTCAGGTCGTTGGAGGATGAGGTCGTGTGAAGGTGATGAAGAATTACGCTGGGGGTGTAGGGTGCCAGGTGGTCGGGCAGTCAGGCGGGTGGACAGACTAGTGATCAGGCAAACTACAGTGAGTGTCACATGACCTATCTCCCCTCCCAACTTTGCCCGTGTCAGTATGTTAAGGACATGAGCCCCCGCTGGCAGCAGCCACTGCGGCATTTTCCCTTACCCTTATTTATATATTTCCCTCCTCACTTCCTCCTCCTGCTTTTCTTCTTCTCTTGTCTTTTTCACCTTTTCAGGTGTTTTTATGTGTCTGCCAGATGAGTGGCTTCTATAATGACTGCTGGCTCCCCTTCACACACCCCCAGGCCATGACGTGGTCGGTCAAACGGAGACAGCAGATTACTTGACTGTGGTGAATTCTAATTTTTGCACGTGCTACAGATATTTCCATGGCCCACTCCTGGCCAAGCCCCCGCCCCACATTCCCGCGGTGTGTGTGAGACTGCCAAGGTGAGGTTGTGTCCTCTTGTTAAGAGCGATTAATGGCACTCGTTATGTACATAATGAAATATCCCTGCTGATGCATAGGACGGCGTTGTCTCTCCTCTTCATATGGGCACATGCAAACACACCAGACCGTATGCATGGTCGTGTTCGTGCGTGCGTGCGTGTGTGTGAGCGAGCGTGTGCGGCACAACATTGAGGACACTTTGTAACAGCCTCCAGGCAACTCTAGAATGTGTTTAATATGTTGTGGAAGGACAGACCCCCCCGCTCCCCTCCGCTCCCCTCCCTTCTACGCCATCTCGCCAAATCAAAAACGAATGGGAATTAAGGTCCTGTC